AATACCTACCCCTGAATACAACATCCCTCCATGGATCCTATAAATATTCCCTGATCCCAACCCCCCCCATCCCTGGACATTCTCCCCATTTAGGGATCCCACACCAACCCTCCCCTTTCCCAAATCCCAATTTTACCTTGGAAAAAGGCACCGAACTCAGGGGGCAGCGGGGCGGGGGCGAACTTGTATTTGCTCTTCTCCTTGGCACTGATGGATTCCCTGGGAAGGGAGAGGGGTGAGGGGGGGATCCGGGATGGGAGAGGGATTTTGGGGTGCTCCCTCACCCGCTCAGCTGCCGCCGCCAGGTCTGGTAGGGGTCGAGGAAGCACTCGCAGAGGTGCAGGGCGTGCAGCATCCCGTTCTCCAGCTGCGCCCGGCTCTCCAGCTGTGCCCCATTTTCTGCCCGTGTTCCCTTCTCCAGCTGTGCCCTCTTCTCCAGCTGTGCCCCATTTTCCAGCTGTGCCCCATTTCCATGGCTCTCCAGCTGTGTCCCATTTACTGCCCGGGTCCCCTTCTCCAGCTGTGCCCCATTTTCCAGCTGTGCCCGGCTCCGCTCGTCCCCCGGGAGGCTCCGCAGCTGCCGGGAAAGCCGAGCTTTAATCCCTGACACACTCCAAAAATGGGATGCATTTTTTGGGGAGGAAACTGCGCTTTGTGGGGAGAATGGGATCATCAATCAATCAATCAATCAATCAATCAATCAATATACCAATCAGAGCCCAGAGCAGCACAAGCTGGGATGCACTGACCAATCAGCAGCCAGAGTCACACAACCTGTAAGGCTCTTGACCAATCAGAACCCAAAGCTGCACTGACCCAATCAGCACCTGGCACTGCAAGGCTCTCAGCCAATCAGCATCAGCTGCGGACTCATGAACCAATCAAATTACAGAGCAACACAACCTGTACAGCTCTCAACCAATCAACATCAAGAATCATACAAGCCATGGACTCATGACCAATCGCCAACCAGAATAACACAACCTAGAGACCTGCTGACCAATCAGAACTCAGTCACACAACCTGTGGATGCACTGACCAATCGAATCCCAGCACAGCACAACCTGTAGAGCTGACCAATCAGCGCCCAGATTCACATAATGTATGGACTCAGTGACCAATCAGCGCTGAGCCCCTCCCCTGCCCATTCCCATTATCAGGGCTGTTCCCAGTCCTGTCCCCAATCCACTTCCCATTCTCATTCCCATGACTGTTCCCATTCCCACTCCCCATTCTCATGAGCGTTCCCATTCCCATTCCTGTTCCCACTCCCATGATTGTTCCAATTCCTGTCCCCATTCAGATTTCCATGACCCTTCCCATTCCCGTTGTCCTTCCCCCTCCCCATTCCCATTACTGCTCCCACTCCCCATTCCCGTTCCCATTCCTGTGCCCATTCCCATTCCCATTCCCACGCCCATTATCATGGCTGTTCCCATTCCCCTTCCCACTCCCCTTCCTATTCCTGTGCCCATTCCCATTACTGTTCCCATTCCCACTCCCCCTCCTGTTCCCATGACTGTTCCCATTCCCATTCCTTCGACTGATTCCATTCCTGTTCCTGCTCCCACTCCCATTCCCCTTCCAATTCCCGCTCCTGTTCCCATTCCCACTCCCGTTCCCCTTCCCATCCCCTTCCCATTCTCATTCCCACTCCTGCTTCCATTCCTGTTCCTGCTCCTGTTCCCATTCCCACTCCGGTTCCTGCTCCTGTTCCCATTCCCGCTTCTCCTTCCACTCTCATTCCCTCTCCTGTTCCCACTCCTGTTCCATTCCTGCTCCCACTCACCTTCCTGTTCCATTCCTACTCCCATTCCCGTTCCCGTTGCTGCTCCCACTCCCATTCCTGTTCCTACTCCCACTCCCGTTTCCATTCCCTCTCCCATTCCTGTTCCCGTTCCCTCTCCCATTCCCATTCCCCCTCCTCTTCCTGTTCCCATTCCCACTCCCATTCCCCCTCTGTTCCCGTTCCCACTCCCATTTCCACTCCCATTCCCACTCCTCCTTCCACTCCCATTCCCACTCCTGCTCCCTCTCCTGTTCCCACTCCTGCACCCTCTCCCTCTCCCATTCCTGTTCGATTCCTGCTCCCACTCCCGTTCCCACTCCTGTTTCCACTCCCGTTCCCACTCCCATTCCTATTACCTCTCCCACTCCCATTCACATTCCCGTTCCCATTCCTGCTCCCTCTCCCATTCCTGTTCCATTCCTACTCCCATTCCCTCTCCCATTCCTGTTCCCGTTCCCACTCCCACTCCCATTCCCACTCCTGTTCCCACTCCCATTCCCATTTCCTCTCCTGTTCCCATTCCCCCTCTGTTCCCGTTCCCACTCCCATTTCCACTCCCGTTCCCACTCCTGCTGCCTCTCCCGTTCCCACTCCTGCTGCCTCTCCTGTTCCCACTCCTGCTGCCTCTCCCTCTCCCATTCCTGTTCGATTCCTGCTCCCACTCCCGTTCCCGCTCCTGTTTTCACTCCCATTCCCACTCCCTCTCCCATTTCCGTTCCCATTCCCGCTCCCATTCCCATTCCCATTCCCGCTCCCATTCCCATTCCCATTCCCTCTCCCACTCCCATTCACATTCCCTCTCCCACTCCCANGGGGGGGGTTGAGAGTCACCTACAAGGGTCACTCAGGGGCTCTGGGGACCACACAGAGGGGTCACTTGGGGCTGATGGGGGTCACTCAGGGGTGCTAGGGGTCATCCAGGGTGGTCACTCAGGGGTGTTGGAGGTCACTCAGAAGTGTTGAGAGTCATCCAGGGTGGTCACTCAGGGGTGCTGGGGTCACCTACAGGGGTCACTTGGGGGTGTTGGGGGGCACTCAGGGGTGCTGGGGTCACCTACAGGGGTCACTTGGGGGTGTTGCTCAGGGATATTGGGGTCAGCCAGGGATGCTAGGGGTCATCCAGGGTGGTCACTCGGGGGTGTTGGGGGGCACTCAGGGATGTTGGGGACAGTCAGGGATGTTGGGGTCATCCAGAGGTGCTGGAGGTCACTCAGAGGTGTTGAGGATCTCCTCCATGGGTTACTCGAGGGTGCTGGGGGGCACTCAGGGATGTTGGGGTCATCCAGGGTGGTCACTCAGGGGTGCTGGGGTCATCCACAGGGGTCACTCAGGGGTGTTGGGGGTCACTCAGGGGTGCTGGGTCACCTACAGGGGTCACTCAGGGGTGTTGGGGGTCACTCAGGGATGTTGGGGTCATGCAGGGGGGCTGGGAATCACTTGGGCAGGACATTTAGGAGTGCAGGGATCACCCAGGGGTGTTGGAGGCCACCCAGGAATGCTGGGGGTCACTCAGAGGGGTCACCCATGGGTGCTGGGGTCAACCCTGGTGGGGTCACTCAAAGGGTATTGGGGTCACTCGGGGATGTTTGGGGTCCCCGCAGGGTTTTGGGGTCCCACCTGCGGGGCTCCAGCGAGGGCAGGGCGATGACCCTCTCGAAGCTGGTGACGAAGGCCTCCAGCCACTGCTGCAGGTAGGACAGGTCCTTCTGCAAGGGAGGGCGGGGCTAGAGCCAGCAGCCAATCATGGCTCTCCAAAGCCCCAGCCTGCAGGGATTGGCCAATCACAGCCAGAGAAACCAGCCCCGCCCTCTCAGGTGTGTGACACACCCCTGGGAGCCACTGACCAATCACAACGCAGAACCGCACAACCTGTGAAGCCACTAACCAATCACACCCAGCACAGCACAACCTGTGGAACTCACTGGCCAATCAGCTTGCAGAGCACCTGTCCCTGCAGCCAATCAGGGCACAGCGAGACCTGCCCGGCCCATCTGGGGTTGTGCAATGGGGACAGTGGGGACAGAGGGGGACAGAGGGGACTCACCCAGGGTTGGCACCCCGAGGTGCCACCTCCAGGTGTCCCACGCCCCTGAGCACCCCAGTGTGGCACCTTGGGGTCACCCCAGTCCTTGAGCACCCCAACAGCGCAGTTTTGGGGTGCCCTGTGTCCCTCAGCAACCCGGTGTGGCACATTTGGTGTCACTCGCGTCCCTGAGCACCCCAGGGTGGCACCTCCAGGTGTCCCATGTCCCTGAGCACCCCAAGGGTCACTTTTAGGGTCACCCCANTTCCCACTCCCGTTCCCACTCCCATTCCTGTTCCCGTTCCCACTCCCATTCCCTCTCCCATTCCCGTTCCCACTCCCGTTCCCACTCCCGTTCCCACTCCCGTTCCCACCTGGCTCCCGCAGAGCCGCAGCAGCCGCAGCACGTGCGGGAGGCAGCCGGGGCTCCGGTCGGGCTGGATGTTCTCCAGGTTCCTGGAACGGAAAACATCGGGAATTCACCTGCACGGCCGGGGAGGGAATCTGGGAAGGGGAAGGGGGGAATCTGGGGGGGAATAAAGTGTTTGGGACAGGGAAAATGCCATAAAAATTTCTTCTATTTTACACAATTTTTATTATATTATGTTGTGTTATTAATTTTTTGTTATTAATAATAAAAATAACTTTTTTTTTAGAGATGTGATGCAATTTGGGGGGAATGATGGAATTTTGGGGAGAAGAATGGTTTCCTATTCTTATATTTTCATTACATTACATTATATTATTTATTATTGTATTCAGTATTACCGTTAAATATATTGACTACTAATAATAGTAATTCTTTTCTTTTTTTTTTAATATATAATGCATTTTAGGGAGGGAACTCCCCTGGGAGAGAATGATGGAATTTGGGGGGAATGATAGTTTAAAATGATTGTATTTTTATTAGATTACATTATTAAACAATATTATTATTAACAATAACGATTTTCTAATTATTAGTTTTAGAAACATGATGCACTTTTGAAGAGGCACTACATTGGGGGAATGACAATTTTGAGGGGCAATAACGCTATTTCTTAATTATTATATTTTTAAAATAGTTTGTTACTTTGCACTATTATCAATAACAATGCAAAATATTTACATTTTAATAATTATAAAATATAAAAATATATAAACGCAAACATATAGAATATTTATATTTTTACAATTATTATTAATTTATTATTATATGTCTATTATTATATTAAATATTATATATTATTATATATTATTATAATATTATATATTATTATTATTATATATTTAAAATGTTGTTGTTATGTTGCTTTATTATAATTACAACTAGTATTATTGTCGTGACTATTATTATTATTACTACTATTATTATTACTACTATTAAATAATATTATTTTCACTACTAATACTAGTACTACTACTAGTGCTACTACTTATTATAATTATTATTATTATTATATTTTTCTTTTTGTTATTTATTATTATATATTATTTTCTTTTTATTATTTATTATTATATGTTATTTATATTCTTCTTCTTCTTCTTCTTCTTAATAATAATAATAATAATAATAATAATAATAATAATAATAATAATAATAATAATAATAATAATATTGTTATTATATTTTTCAAATTTTGTAAAATTTTTCAATGCA